TGTTTCATTGCTTCACTCTGACCATTTGCCGCAGCAACACATTCTAATGCATTGTGCTTCAGTGACACTCAGTGACAACAACTGCGGCAATGATGAGGGAGCAAAATGTCGTTGAACCATGTTGAACCCTTCCACTTCGCAACACAACTTTTGACTGCTTGGAAAGACCTTGTTCAAACACTGCACCTGCCTCGGGCATCACTTCAGAAAGTGGCAACACCTGCCGGAAGCCAAGCTCTAAGGATTCCAAGGTATGGCATTCAGAAATTCAATGTTTCAACATGTTTCAATGATTTTCAATGATTTTCAATGATTTTCAATGTATGTTTCACTTGCACCAGGTGGCATGTTAAGGTTTCGGGTTCCTTTATGTTCAGCTGGAACTACTGGTTGATGATGGGCATGAGTTATGAGCAAAATACCATGGGGAAAGGTCCAAACTAGAGTCCTTGAGGGTTGGTAAACAAAAGGCCAAGAAAAAGATGTGGGAGCGGAGAAGGCATAGAAAGCCATGGGCGCTAGCAATGAGAGGGGAGATGCGAAGGGTAGCGTGGAGGAAGGTGGCAAAATGGTAAGAGCAAGGTGGAGTGGAGTGACTAAGTGGGAAGGAGTTGGGTGGATCGCTGGAAGAAATGAATCCATATCAAAGTGTGCATGACAAATTGCGAGTTTGGCAATTGGACTGCTCCACATCCCTTTCTAAAGCAAGAAAATAACATGAAAAAAATCAAGCTCGCTATCACTAGCTTTTGTGGCAAGACATTGTTCAAACCCACTGCCTCTGCCTCGACTGGCTCAGGAGGGCCCTGCAATGAGCACAGGCAGAAAGCAAAATCCTGTGTGCTAAATTATGAAATCTTAATGTTTCATTGCTTCACTCTGACCATTTGCCGCATCAACACATTCTAATGCATTGTGCTTCAGTGACACTCAGTGAAAAACTGCGGCAATGATGAGGGAGCAAAATGTCGTTGAACCATGTTGAACCCTTCCACTTCGCAACACAACTTTTGACTGCTTGGAAAGACCTTGTTCAAACACTGCACCTGCCTCGGCAATCACTTCAGAAAGTGGCAACACCTGCCGGAAGCCAAGCTCTAAGGATTCCAAGGTATGGCATTCAGAAATTCAATGTTCCAACATGTCGCAATGATTTTTAATGATTTTCAATGTATGTTTCACTTGCACCAGGTGGCATGTTAAGGTTTCGGGTTCCTTTATGTTCAGCTGGAACTACTGGTTGATGATGGGCATGAGTTATGAGCAAAATACCATGGGGAAAGGTCCAAACTTGAGTCCTTGAAGGTTGGTAAACGAAAGGCCAAGAAAAAAGATGTGGGAGCGGAGAAGGCATAGAAAGCCATGGGCGCTAGCAATGAGAAGGGAGATGTGAAGGGTAGCGTGGAGGAAGGTGGCAAGATGGTCAGAGCAAGGTGGAGTGGAGTGACTAAGTGGGAAGGAGTTGGGTGGATCGCTGGAAGAAATGAATCCATATCAAAGTGTGCATGACAAATTGCGGGTTTGGCACTTGGACTGCTCCACATCCCTTGCTAAAGCAAGAAAAAACATGAAAAAAATCAAGCTTGCTACCACTAGCTTTCGTGACAAGACATTGTTCAAACCCACTGCCTCTGCCTCGACTTGCTCAGGAGGGCCCTGCAATGAGCACAGGCGGAAAGCAAATCCTGTGGGCTAAATTATGAAATCTTAATGTTTCATTGCTTCACTGTGACCATTTGCCGCATCAACACCTCCAGTGCATTGTGATATTGTGACAGTCAGCGGCAACAACTGCGGCAATGATAAGGGAGCAAAATGCCGTTGAACCATGTTGAACCCTTCCACTTCGCAACACAACTTTTGACTGCTTGGAAAGACCTTGTTCAAACACTGCACCTGCCTCGGCAACTTCAGAAAGTGGCAACACCTGCCGGAAGCCAAGCTCTAAGGATTCCAAGGTATGGCATTCAGAAATTCAATGTTTCAATGTTCCAACATGTTTCAATGTATGTTTCACTTGCACCAGGTGGCATGTTAAGGTTTCGGGTTCCTTTATGTTCAGCTGGAACTACTGGTTGATGATGGGCATGAGTTATGAGCAAAATACCATGGGGAAAGGTCCAAACTAGAGTCCTTGAGGGTTGGTAAACGAAAGGCCAAGAAAAAAGATGTGGGAGCGGAGAAGGCATAGAAAGTCATGGGCGCTAGCAATGAGAAGGGAGATGCGAAGGGTAGCGTGGAGGAAGGTGGCAAGATGGTCAGAGCAAGGTGGAGTGGAGTGACTAAGTGGGAAGGAGTTGGGTGGATCGCTGGATGAAATGAATCCATATCAAAGTGTGCATGACAAATTGCGGGTTTGGCACTTGGACTGCTCCACATCCCTTGCGAAAGCAAGGCAAAAAGATGAACTAGACGACGGATGGCCCGAGAGCGTAGAGGAGCAGGGTCTTCTCTTGTTAGTATGGAGACACCATATTACAAAACAATATATTAAAGATATGTTTTAGGCAGTCGAGAAGAGGAGTATCAAGACAATATAGCATAAGTACAAGACAATAGTTTGCATCGCAAACACTTTTACACACAGAAGCTTTTACACAGAGCAAGCTTTTACACAGAGAACCCCTTACACAGAGAAGCTTTTACAGGCAGGCGCTTTTACACAGAGACACTTTTACACAGAGACGCTTTTACACACAAGGCACTTTTACACACAGACACTTTTACACACAGACACTTTTACACACAGGCGCTTTTACATACAGACAGTTTTACACAGACGCTTTTACACAGACGCTTTTACACACAAAGCTTTTACCCACAGAAGCTTTTACAGACAGAAGCTTTTACACACAGACGCTTTTACACACAGACACTTTTACACACAGACACTTTTACACACAGACGCTTTTACACACAGACACTTTTAACAAAGACCCTTTTACACACAGGAGTTTTTACGCACAGAAGTGTTTACACGCAGACGCTTTTACACACAAAAGCTTTTACACACAGAAGCTTTTACACATAGACGCTTTTACACACAGACACTTTTACACACAAACACTTTTATACACAAATACTTTTACACACAGACGCTTTTACACACAGAAGCTTTTACACGCAGACGCTTGTACACACAGAAGCTTTTACACACAAACGCTTTTACACACAGACGGTTTTACACACAAACACTTTTACACAGAGCACACAGAAGCTTTTAAGCAGACGCTTTTACACAGAGGCTTTTACACAGATGCTTTTACACACAAAAGCTTTGACACACAGCACACAGAAGCTTTAATTGTACACACAGAAGAAATCGCAATTTTACCTTAGTTTTTGGCGATCGACCCTCATTTTGTGCGAAAGAGTTGCGCGGGACAAGTTGAAATCGCAATTTTACCTCAGTTTTTGGCGATCGAACCTCATTTCGTGCGAAAGGGTTGCGCCGGACACCTTGAAATCGCAATTTTACTTCAGTTTTTGGCGATCGAACCTCGTTTCGTGCGAAAGGGTTGCGTTTCGTGCCGTCTCGTTGGCACTGCCCCTGCCCCCGCCTTCAGAAGAGAAATAGAAAAGAAGGAGAAGGCAAGAGGGCGAGAGGGCGAGAGGGCAAGAGGGCAAGAGGAGAAGATGTGAAGATGTGAGGATGTGAAGATGTGAAGATGTGAGGATGAGAAGATGTGAAGATGAGCAGATGTGAAGATATGAAGATGTGAAGATGAGCAGAAGATGTGAAGATGTGAAGATGAGCAGATGTGAAGATGTGAAGATGAGAGGATGTGAAGATGAGAAGATGTGAAGATGAGAGGATGTGAAGATGAGAAGATGTGAAGATGTGAAGTGAGAAGATGTGAAGATGAGAAGGTGTGAAGATGAGAAGATGTGAAGATGAGAAGATGTGAAGAAGATGTGAAGAAGATGTGAAGATGTGAAGTGAGAAGATGCGAAGATGAGAAGATGTGAAGATGAGAAGATGTGAAGATGAGAAGATGTGAAGATACGAAGATGTGAAGATGAGAAGATGTGAAGATGAGAAGGTGTGAAGATGAAGATGTGAAGATGAGAGGATGTGAAGATGAGAAGATGTGAAGATGAGAAGATGAGATACAGACCTCCACTATTGGAAGAACCCTGCGCTCAGACGCTTTCGGGAAAAAAATCAAGCTCGCTATCACTAGCTTTTGTGACAAGACATTGTTCAAACCCACTGCCTCTGCCTCGACTGGCTCAGGAGGGCCCTGCAATGAGCACAGACAGAAAGCAAAATCCTGTGTGCTAAATTATGAAACCTTAATGTTTCATTGCTTCACTCTGACCACTTCCCGCATCAACACCTCCAGTGCATTGTGATTCAGTGACACTCAGTGACAACAACTGCGGCAATGATGAGGGAGCAAAATGCCGTTGAACCATGTTGAACCCTTCCACTTCGTAACACAACTTTTGACTGCTTGGAAAGACCTTGTTCAAACACTGCACCTGCCTCGGCAACTTCAGCCCCAGGTGACGCTTCAAATTCCGCCACCTGCAGAAAGAAAGAAAGTGCTTGAAGGATCCGAAGGTATTGCAATGCCAAAACTTGACATTTCGCGATGACCATGCACTGCATCAACGCCTACCAGGCCTAGCACCTTTTTCGGGTAGTTGGATTTTTTGGTTTTGATGAGGATGAAACTCCCGCCATATGGATCCATATGGTACTGGTACTAGGCCACTTTGAGACCCAATCATGACTGATCCCAACAAGATCTTTCTCAAATCCACTCTCTCCCCGCCTCCGCCTTGATTACCGCAGGCTTCTTTGCTGAAGCTTGCAACGCATCAAAGTGCGCAATGGCCGCCAGCATCCCCGATCCCGGCGTGTCCTCCTTCGGTTGATCCTTCATCTTCCTGCCCTCCGCCTCCAGTTCGGCCAGGTGTCGCTGCTGCAGCGCCTGGCTTTTGCCATCAACCATCCTCCATCCCAGGAGCCGCGGGTCATCCCGCGAGCGCGCGGTGACGGGGAATCTCATGCCGTACACCGACGCCGCCGTGGCTGAATCCATGGCCACAGCGAAAGCGGAAGGAGCGATGTCAACAATCAGCAGCTGAGCCAAGGTGCCTCCAGGCGACAAATGAGGACAATGATGGACAATGTGATGAATCTGAGCCCATAGCCGCCACAACCAAGCTATCATGTCGTAAGGATTCGTAAGGTATCTGCAGGATCATAAGAAATCAGAGAAAGTGTCAACTTGGAAGCTTGCAGCTCAGAACAGGCTCTGCCAAGAATTGGTTGGGGCCAAGTCAGGTGACAACAACATGCTGAAGTATCATGAAAATTCATGAAATATGTTGAATACTTGATATCGATGAGAGCAACTCAACGACAATCTTCGGAGCTAGATGACCCAATCCACCCTTGGCCCGAACCTCGCATGTCTTAAACATTCTGACTGGGCGAGTCACACTTCATCCAAAACCATCCAAAACTGATATCACAGGTATCTCTTGGATTTTTTCGTCAAATTCCGGGAAAGCCCCCAAAAACGGTAGGCTTTCCAGGCCGGCCCTCTGCTGCGATTTTTCAGTTCAAAACGTTCCATGACTTGCAGAAGCTGTGGCAAGCCATCAAATCAATCGAGGCTGCAGCCAGTTAGCCGCAGCGTGCATTTGGGGTGCAGCGTGTGAAATACCTATGGTTCTTTTTACACAATTATACACAGCTAGCAATTACATTCCACTTGAAAAATACAAACATCTGCAAGATTCCCAGACATGATATTGTCTCATTGATGCGGGTGAAACTAAATTGCTAGGCGGCGATCACTTTTGGCGCCTGGGGAACGTTGGCTTTGACTATGGACAACTAGCAGGTCACACCACCTTCCCTTGCTGCCACAAGATCCATGGTCCCGACAGAATTAGGTGATGATTAGTGCTTAATGCAGCTGATCACATTCCCCACCCTTTTAAAAATGTCTAGCTGTCCAGCCCTCAACTGCAGGTCACACCAGCAGCCCAACACCTTCCCGGCTGCTGCCTGCCGCAGCAGCCGATCGCGGAGAGAAAGGCCTTGGATCTTTGGGGCTTTTGTTATGAAGCAAGTTTCCAAACATTATCCGACCGGGTCCCAGCCTATTCTCAAGTGACGCCGAAAAGCCCTTTTGACGGAAGTAAAATTTAGTTGTTAAATCCTCGCATCCATCGGCAATTTCCGATTGGCACTGTACGCAGTGTCAAGCAAATTGATGTTTCCCAGATCCACAGTTGAAGGACTAGCCGACTAGCCCACCACCAGCTGACCTGGCCCATCCTGACCCTGCCCCTGTCCTGCACAAATTGCGTGATGTCATCCTGAAAGTTCATGGAGATGTTTTGGAAATCTGTGGGTGTCATCACCACCAACCACTTCAGGTTTGACAATTTTGCACTGGTGGTGAAGACTGGGTCACTAGGTGCATTAAACCACAACGATGTCTCATCCGATTGCAGGGGTGAGAAATAATCTTTGTGTCTGCCACGAGTCCAATTTCTTGTGGAACCACTTTACAAAACAAACAGTTGAAAGATGTTGAAAGGCTGTCTCCTCTTTTTTTTGAAATCATGAACAGGGTCCACCACCTCAAATCGCCATGCGCAACATCCAAGACCCCCTTTTCAAATCTGGCAAGCCTGCGGGGGCTGTTCCTCCTCCCCGTGAGTCTCCGAGGGCTGTTGAAACAGCGATTCTGCCTGCAATGAGCACAGGCAGAAAGCAAAATCCTGAAGATTGTCACACCCTGGGATGAATTATGAAAATATTGATGATCTGGGATGTTTTCTTGCTTCACTCTGACCATTTGCCGCAGCAACACATTCTAATGCATTGTGCTTCAGTGCCACTCAGTGACAACAACTGCGGCAATGATGAGGGAGCAAAATGTCGTTGAACCATGTTGAACCCTTCCACTTCGCAACGCAACTTTTGACTGCTTGGAAAGACTTGTTCAAACACTGCACCTGCCTCGGCAATCACTTCAGACAGCGGCGCGGCTTCAAATTCCACCACCTGCAGAAAGCAAAGCTCAAGGGATTCAAAGGTATTGCATGCAGAATCTCAATGTTTCAATACATGTTTCACTTGCACCAGGTGGCATGTTAAGGTTTCGGGTTCCTTTATGTTCAGCTGGAACTACTGGCTGATGATGGGCATGAGTTATGAGCAAAATACCATGGGGAAAGGTCCAAACTTGAGTCCTTGAGGGTTGGTAAACAAAAGGCCAAGAAAAAAGATGTGGGAGCGGAGAAGGCATAGAAAGCCATGGGCGCTAGCAATGAGAAGGGAGATGCGAAGGGTAGCGTGGCGGAAGGTGGCAAGATGGTAAGAGCAAGGTGGAGTGGAGTGACTAAGTGGGAAGGAGTTGGGTGGATCGCTGGAAGAAATGAATCCATATCAAAGTGTGCATGACAAATTGCGGGTTTGGCAATTGGACTGCTCCACATCCCTTGCTAAAGCAAGAAAAAAACATGAAAAAAATCAAGCTTGCTACCACTAGCTTTCGTGACAAGACATTGTTCAAACATGCTCAAACCCACTGCCTCTGCCTCGACTGGCTCAGGAGGGCCCTGCAATGAGCACAGGCAGAAAGCAAAATCGTGTGGGCTAAATTATGAACTCTGAATGTTTCATTGCTTCACTCTGACCATTTGCCGCAGCAACACATTCTAATGCATTGTGATTCAGTGACACTCATTGACAACAACTGCGGCAATGATGAGGGAGCAAAATGTCGTTGAATCATGTTGAACCCTTCCACTTCGCAACACAACTTACTGCTTGGAAAGACCTTGTTCAAACACTGCACCTGCCTCGGCAATCACTTGAGAAAGTGGCAACACCTGCCGGAAGCCAAGCTCTAAGGATTTCAAGGTATGGCATTCAGAAATTCAATGTTTCAACATGTTTCAACATGTTTCAACATGTTTCAACATGTTTCAACATGTTTCAACATGTTTCAATGATTTTCAATGACTTTCAATGATTTTCAATGTATGTTTCACTTGCACCAGGTGGCATGTTAAGGTTTCGGGTTCCTTTATGTTCAGCTGGAACTACGGGCCTGATGATGGGCAGGCGTATGAGACCCCATACCCGGGGAAAGGTCCACCCTTGCGTCTTGCGGGGTTGGTAACACGACCGGCCAAGACAAAAGGACCACTCTCCCACACAACAAAACCACACCCGAACAACACCAGCAGCCCACTTTGTTGGTGGTTTGTGGTGTGTCACACCAACCCTGGGGAGGAGAAGGCATAGAAGCCAGGGGCGCTAGCAATGAGAAGGGCGATGCGAAGGGTAGCGTGGGAGGAAGGTGGCAAGAGGGTCAGGCAAGGTGAAGTGGAGTGACGAAGTGGAAGGAGTTGGGCGTGGGGATCGCTGGAAGAAATGAATCCATATCAAAATGTGCATGACAAATTGCGGGTTTGGCAATTGGACTGCTCCACATCCCTTGCTAAAGCAAGAAAAAAACATGAAAAAAATCAAGCTTGCTACCACTAGCTTTCGTGACAAGACATTGTTCAAACATGCTCAAACCCACTGCCTCTGCCTCGACTGGCTCAGGAGGGCCCTGCAATGAGCACAGGCAGAAAGCAAAATCCTGCAGGCTAAATTATGAAATCTGAATGTTTCATTGCTTCACTCTGACCATTTGCCGCAGCGACACATTCTAATGCATTGTGCTTCAGTGACACTCAGTGACAACAACTGCGGCAACGATGAGGAGCAAAATGTCGTTGAACCATGTTGAACCCTTCCACTTCGCAACACAACTTACTGCTTGGAAAGACCTTGTTCAAACACTGCACCTGCCTCGGCAATCACTTCAGAAAGTGGCAACACCTGCCGGAAGCCAAGCTCTAAGGATTTCAAGGTATGGCATTCAGAAATTCAATGTTTCAACATATTTCAACATGTTTCAATGTATGTTTCACTTGCACCAGATGGCATGTTAAGGTTTCGGGTTCCTTTATGTTCAGCTGGAACTACTGGTTGATGATGGGCATGAGTTATGAGCAAAATACCATGGGGAAAGGTCCAAACTTGAGTCCTTGAGGGTTGGTAAACGAAAGGCCAAGACAAAAGATGTGGGAGCGGAGAAGGCATAGAAAGCCACGGGCGCTAGCAATGAGAAGGGAGATGCGAAGGGTAGCGTGGAGGAAGGTGGCAAGATGGTAAGAGCAAGGTGGAGTGGAGTGACTAAGTGGGAAGGAGTTGGGTGGATCGCTGGAAGAAATGAATCCATATCAAAATGTGCATGACAAATTGCCGGTTTGGCAATTGGACTGCTCCACATCCCTTGCTAAAGCAAAAAAAAACATGAAAACAAGATGCAGCCCACGAACCCGAATGCTCACACGTATGTTAATGGTACAGATGTGGAAACACATGGACATGCAGTCACGCAGAACACTTTTCTGCAATAGTTTATTGGAACAGGCTTGTACATATTTCCCCTATTACCAGTCTGCGGTGTGGAGTGGGAAGTGTAGAGTGTGGAGTGTAGAGTGTAAAGTAAGGAGTGTGGAGTATAAAGTGTGGAGTGGGGAGTGTGGAGCATGTAAAGTGTAGAGTCTAGAGTGTGGAGTGTAGAGTGTAAAGTGTGGAGTGTGGAGTGTGGAGTTTAAAGTGTAGAGTGTGGAGTGTGGAGTGTGGAGTGCGGAGTGTAGAGTGTGGAGTGTGGCGTGTAGAGTGTAAAGTGTGGAGTGAGGAGTGTAAAGTGTGGAGTGTGGAGTGTGGTGTGTGGAGTGTGCAGTGTAGAGTGTGGAGTGTGGAGTGTGGAGTGTGGAGTGTGGAGTGTGGAGTGGAAAGTGTAGAGTGTGGAGTGTGGAGTGTAAAGTGAGGAGTGTGAAGTGTAAAGTGTGGAGTGAGGAGTGTGGAGTGTAGAGTGTAAAGTGTAGAGTGTGGAGTGTAAAGTCTCAGGTAAGGTGTGAGGAGTGTAAAGTGCAAAGTGTAAAGTGTGGAGTGTAAAGTGTACAGTGTGGAGTCTAAAGTGTAAATTGTGGAGTGCGGAGTGTAAAGTGTAGAGTGTGGAGTGCAGAGCTTCCCCCATAGACACGGCGACGCCACAGGAAAACCAGCGACTCGAGATAAGACATGTGGATGCAGAAAAACCAGCATTTCGTACGAGACTTCCTCCAATTTTGACATTTTCAACACATTATCAAACAAGTTTGGAATGTCACAAAGTGCCACGCCTGCCACGCAAAACGACATGACAACCTGCTTGGACACATTCGAATAGGACATGTTTTCCAGCTTCCCCCATAGACACGGCGACGCCACAGGAAAACGAGAGACTCGAGACGAGACACGTGGGAGCACCAAAACGAGCATTTCCTACGAGATTTCCTCCAATTTTGAAATTTTGTGAACATCATCAAACAGGTTGGAATGTCAGAAAGTACCACGTCTGCCACGCAAAACAACATGACAACCTGCTTGGAAACATTCGAAAAGGACAGGTTTTCCAGCTTCCCCCATAGACACGGCGACGCCACAGGAAAACCAGCGACTCGAGACAAGACACGTGGATGCAGAAAAACCAGCATTTCGTGCGAGACTTCCTCCAATTTTCACACTTTGTAGCTTCAAAATCGACGTTTTCCTAGGAGTTTTCCTTAGAACCTGAAAATTTGCAACCTCAAAATCCATGTTTCGTGCGAGGCTTCCGTCAATTTTCAGCACATCGTACAAAATGCCACGACTGCCACGGAATCACCTTGTCGCCACTGACGCACCCCTCCAATGCGATTTGCAAAAAACACGCAACACGACACGTCTAAAGTGCTGCGCCTGCCACGAAAAATGACGATGGACACGTCCAAAGTGCTGCGCCTGCCACGAAAACTGCAACACATCTTCTGAAAACGTCGCAAAAGTATTGCGCCTGCCAGGCAAAACGACTTTCGACACGTTCCAGAACACGTCTGAATGTCACGAAGTGCCACGCCTGCCACGCGAAACGAAGCAACGACACGTCTGAAACCTCCAAAATGGACCACCTCTGCAAAACTTCCCATAGGCACGGCCATACGGGGATCGCGCGGACGGTTGCGAACGGTTGCGAACGGTTGCGGACGGTTGCGGACGGTTGCGAACGGTTGCGACCACAAACGCAACGTCGAGCGAACACACCCTCAACCCCCAGACCCCCAGAGTGAAACGGGAACCCTTGCTACGCATTCGGGAAAAATCAGGCTTGCTACCACTAGCTTTCGTGACAAGACATTGTTCAAACCCACTGCCTCTGCCTCGACTGGCTCAGGAGGGCCCTGCCATGAGCACAGGCAGAAAGCAAAATCCTGTGTGCTAAATTATGAAATCTTAATGTTTCATTGCTTCACTCTGACCATTTGCCGCAGCAACACATTCTAATGCATTGTGATTCAGTGACACTCATTGACAACAACTGCGGCAATGATGAGGGAGCAAAATGTCGTTGAACCATGTTGAACCCTTCCACTTCGCAACACACCTTTTGACTGCTTGGAAAGACCTTGTTCAAACACTGCACCTGCCTCGGCAATCACTTCAGAAAGTGGCAACACCTGCCGGAAGCCAAGCTCTAAGGATTCCAAGGTATGGCATTCAGAAATTCAATGTTTCAATGTTCCAACATGTTTCAATGTATGTTTCACTTGCACCAGGTGGCATGTTAAGGTTTCGGGTTCCTTTATGTTCAGCTGGAACTACTGGTTGATGATGGGCATGAGTTATGAGCAAAATACCATGGGGAAAGGTCCAAACTAGAGTCCTTGAGGGTTGGTAAACGAAAGGCCAAGAAAAAAGATGTGGGAGCGGAGAAGGCATAGAAAGTCATGGGCGCTAGCAATGAGAAGGGAGATGCGAAGGGTAGCGTGGAGGAAGGTGGCAAGATGGTAAGAGCAAGGTGGAGTGGAGTGACTAAGTGGGAAGGAGTTGGGTGGATCGCTGGATGAAATGAATCCATATCAAAGTGTGCATGACAAATTGCGGGTTTGGCAATTGGACTGCCCCACATCCCTTGCTAAAGCAAGAAAAAAACATGAAAAAAATCAAGCTTGCTACCACTAGCTTTCGTGACAAGACATTGTTCAAACATGCTCAAACCCACTGCCTCTGCCTCGACTGGCTCAGGAGGGCCCTGCAATGAGCACAGGCAGAAAGTAAAATCCTGTGGGCTAAATTATGAAATCTTAATGTTTCATTGCTTCACTGTGACCATTTGCCGCAGCAACACCTCCAGTGCATTGTGCTTCAGTGACACTCAGTGACAACAACTGCGGCAATGATCAGGGAGTAAAATGTCGTTGAACCATGTTGAACCATGTTGAACCCTTCCACTTCGCAACACAACTTTTGACTGCTTGGAAAGACCTTGTTCAAACACTGCCCCTGCCTCGGCAACTTCAGAAAGTGGCAACACCTGCCGGAAGCCAAGCTCTAAGGATTCCAAGGTATGGCATTCAGAAATTCAATGTTTCAACATGTTTCAACATGTTTAAATGGTTTTCAATGATATTCAATGATTTTCAATGTATGTTTCACTTGCACCAGGTGGCATGTTAAGGTTTCGGGTTCCTTTATGTTCAGCTGGAACTACTGGTTGATGATGGGCATGAGTTATGAGCAAAATACCATGGGGAAAGGTCCAAACTTGAGTCCTTGAGGGTTGGTAAACGAAAGGCCAAGAAAAAAGATGTGGGAGCGGAGAAGGCATAGAAAGCCATGGGCGCTAGCAATGAGAAGGGAGATGCGAAGGGTAGCGTGGAGGAAGGTGGCAAGATGGTCAGAGCAAGGTGGAGTGGAGTGACTAAGCGGGAAGGAGTTGGGTGGATCACTGGAAGAAATGAATCCATATCAAAGTGTGCATGACAAATTGCGGGTTTGGCACTTGGACTGCTCCACATCCCTTGCGAAAGCAAGGCAGAAAGATCAAAAAATCAAGCTCGCTATCACTAGCTTTTGTGACAAGACATTGTTCAAACCCACTGCCTCTGCCTCGACTGGCTCAGGAGGGCCCTGCAATGAGCACAGGCAGAAAGCAAAATCCTGTGTGCTAAATTATGAAATCTTAATCTTAATGTTTCATTGCTTCACTCTGACCATTTCCCGCATCAACACCTCCAATGCATTGTGCTTCAGTGACACTCAGTGACAAAAACTCTGGCAATGATGAGGGAGTAAAATGTCGTTGAACCATGTTGAACCATGTTGAACCCTTCCACTTCGCAACACAACTTTTGACTGCTTGGAAAGACCTTGTTCAAACACTACACCTGCCTCGGCAACTTCAGCCCCAGGTGACGCTTCAAATTCCGCCACCTGCAGAAAGAAAGAAAGTGCTTGAAGGATCCGAAGGTTTTGCAATGCCAAAACTTGACATTCCGCGATGACCATGCACTGCATCAACGCCTGCCACCTTTTTCGGGTAGTTTTTTTCAAATTTGTTTTGATGAGGATGAAACTCCCGCCACATGGTACTGGATGTACTGGTACTAGGCCACTTTGAGACCCAATCATGACTGATCCCAACAAGATCTTTCTCAAATCCACTCTCTCCTCGCCTCCGCCTTGATCACAGGTTTCTTTGCTGCTTGCAACGCATCAAAGTGCGCAATGGCCGCCAGCATCCCCGATCCCGGCGTGTCCTCCTTCGGTTGATCCTTCATCTTCCTGCCCTCCGCCTCCAGTTCGGCCAGGTGTCGCTGCTGCAGCGCCTGGCTTTTGCCATCAACCATCCTCCATCCCAGGAGCCGCGGGTCATCCCGCGAGCGTGCGGTGACGGGGAATCTCATGCCGTACACCGACGCCGCCGTGGCTGAATCCATGGCAGCGATTCAGCTGGAGCGATGTCAACAATCAGCTGAGCCAAGGTGTCTCCAGGCGACTGAGGACAATGATGGACAATGTGATGAATCTGAGCCCATAGCCGCTATAGCCCATAGCCACAACCAAGCTATCATGTCGTAAGGATTCGTAAGGTATCTGCAGGATCATAAGAAATCAGAGAAAGTGTCAACTTGGAAGCTTGCAGCTCAGAACAGGCTCTGCCAAGAATTGGTTGGGGCCAAGTCAGGTGACAACAACATGCTGAAGTATCATGAAAATTCATGAAATATGTTGAATACTTGATATCGATGAGAGCGACTCAACGGCAATCTTCGGAGCTAAATGACCCAATCCACCCTTGGCCCGAACATGCCCGAACCTCGCATGTCTTGAACATTCTGACTGGGCGAGTCACACTTCATCCAAAACCATCCAAAACTGATATCACAGGTATCTCTTGGAATTTTTACGTCAAATTCCGGGAAAGCCCCCAAAAACGGTAGGCTTTCCAGGCCGGCCCTCTGCTGCGATTTTTCAGTTCAAAACGTTCCATGACTTGCAGAAGCTGTGGCAAGCCATCAAATCAATCGAGGCTGCAGCCAGTTAGCCGCAGCGTGCATTTGGGGTGCAGCGTGTGAAATACCTATGGTTCTTTTTACACAATTATACACAGCTAGCAATTACATTCCACTTGAAAAATACAAACATCTGCAAGATTCCCAGACATGATATTGTCTCATTGATGCGGGTGAAACTAAATTGCTAGGCGGCGATCACTTTTGGCGCCTGGGGAACGTTGGCTTTGACTATGGACAACTAGCAGGTCACACCACCTTCCCTTGCTGCCACAAGATCCATGGTCCCGACAGAATTAGGTGATGATTAGTGCTTAATGCAGCTGATCACATTCCCCACCCTTTTAAAAATGTCTAGCTGTCCAGCCCTCAACTGCAGGTCACACCAGCAGCCCAACACCTTCCCGGCTGCCTGCCGCAGCAGCCGATCGCGGAGAGAAAGGCCTTGGATCTTTGGGGCTTTCGTTATGAAGCAAGTTTCCAAACATTATCCGACCGGGTCCCAGCCTATTCTCAAGTGACGCCGAAAAGCCCTTTTGACGGAACTAAAATTTAGTTGTTAAATCCTCGCATCCATCGGCAATTTCCGATTGGCACTGTACGCAGTGTCAAGCAAATTGATGTTTCCCAGATCCACAGTTGAAGGACTAGCCGACTAGCCCACCACCAGCTGACCTGGCCCATCCTGACCCTGCCCCTGTCCTGCACAAATTGCGTGATGTCATCCTGAAAGTTCATGGAGATGTTTGGGAAATCTGTGGGTGTCATCACCACCAACCACTTCAGGTTTGACAATTTTGCACTGGTGGTGAAGACTGGGTCACTAGGTGCATTAAACCACAACGATGTCTCATCCGATTGCAGGGGTGAGAAATAATCTTTGTGTCTGCCACGAGTCCAATTTCTTGTGGAACCACTTTACAAAACAAACAGTTGAAAGATGTTGAAAGGCTGTCTCCTCTTTTTTTTGAAATCATGAACAGGGTCCACCACCTCAAATCGCCATGCGCAACATCCAAGACCCCCTTTTCAAATCTGGCAAGCCTGCGGGGGCTGTTCCTCCTCCCCGTGAGTCTCCGAGGGCTGTTGAAACAGCGATTCTGCCTGCAATGAGCACAGGCAGAAAGCAAAATCCTGAAGATTGTCACACCCTGGGATGAATTATGAAAATATTGATGATCTGGGATGTTTTCTTGCTTCACTCTGACCATTTGCCGCAGCAACACATTCTAATGCATTGTGCTTCAGTGCCACTCAGTGACAACAACTGCGGCAATGATGAGGGAGCAAAATGTCGTTGAACCATGTTGAACCCTTCCACTTCGCAACGCAACTTTTGACTGCTTGGAAAGACTTGTTCAAACACTGCACCTGCCTCGGCAATCACTTCAGACAGCGGTGCGGCTTCAAATTCCACCACCTGCAGAAAGCAAAGCTCAAGGGATTCAAAGGTATTGCATGCAGAATCTCAATGTTTCAATATATGTTTCACTTGCACCAGGTGGCATATTGCGGTTTCCGGTTCCTTTATGTTCAGCTGGAACTACTGGTTGATGATGGGCATGAGTTATGAGCAAAATACCATGGGGAAAGGTCCAAACTTGAGTCCTTGAGGGTTGGTACACAAAAGGCCAAGAAAAAAAAGATGTGGGAGCGGAGAAGGCATAGAAAGCCATGGGCGCTAGCAATGAGAAGGGAGATGCGAAGGGTAGCGTGGAGGAAGGTGGCAAGATGGTCAGAGCAAGGTGGAGTGGAGTGACTAAGTGGGAAGGAGTTGGGTGGATCGCTGGAAGAAATGAATCCATATCAAAGTGTGCATGGCAAATTGCAGGTTTGGCACTTGGACTGCTCCACATCCCTTGCGAAAGCAAGGCAAAAAGATGAAAAAAATCAAGCTCGCTATCACTAGCTTTTGTGACAAGACATTGTTCAAACCCACTGCCTCTGCCTCGACTGGCTCAGGAGGGCCCTGCAATGAGCACAGGCAGAAAGCAAAATCCTGTAGGCTAAATTATGAAATCTTAATGTTTCATTGCTTCACTCTGACCATTTGCCGCAGCAACACATTCTAATGCATTGTCCTTCAGTGACACTCAGTGACAACAACTGCGGCAATGATGAGGGAGCAAAATGTCGTTGAACCATGTTGAACCCTTCCACTTTGCAACACAACTTGTGACTGCTTGGAAAGACCTTGTTCAAACACTGCACCTGCCTCGGCAATCACTTCAGAAAGTGGCAACACCTGCCGGAAGCCAAGCTCTAAGGATTTCAAGGTATGGCATTCAGAAATTCAATGTTTCAACATGTTTCAATGATTTTCAATGTATGTTTCGCTTGCACCAGGTGGCATGTTGAGGTTTCGGGTTCCTTTATGTTCAGCTGGAACTACTGGTTGATGATGGGCATGAGTTATGAGCAAAATACCATGGGGAAAGGTCCAAACTTGAGTCCTTGAGGGTTGATAAACAAAAAGCCAAGAAAAAAGATGTGGGAGCGGAGAAGGCATAGAAAGCCATGGGCGCTAGCAATGAGAAGGGAGATGTGAAGGGTAGCGTGGAGGAAGGTGGCAAGATGGTCAGAGCAAGGTGGAGTGGAGTGACTAAGTGGGAAGGAGTTGGGTGGATCGCTGGAAGAAATGAATCCACATCAAAGTGTGCATGACAAATTGCGGGTTTGGCACTTGGACTGCTCCACATCCCTTGCTAAAGCAAGAAAAAAACATGAAAAAAATCAAGCTTGCTACCACTAGCTTTCGTGACAAGACATTGTTCAAACATGCTCAAACCCACTGCCTCTGCCTCGACTGGCTCAGGAGGGCCCTGCAATGAGCACAGGCAGAAAGCAAAATCCTGTGTGCTAAATTATGAAATCTTAATGTTTCATTGCTTCACTCTGACCATTTGCCGCAGCAACACATTCTAATGTATTGTGCTTCAGTGACACTCAGTGACAACAACTGCGGCAATGATGAGGGAGCAAAATGTCGTTGAACCATGTTGAACCCTTCCACTTCGCAACACAACTTTTGACTGCTTGGAAAGACCTTGTTCAAACACTGCACCTGCCTCGGCAATCACTTCAGAAAGTGGCAACACCTGCCGGAAGCCAAGCTCTAAGGATTTCAAGGTATGGCATTCAGAAATTCACTGTTTCAACATGTTTCAATGATTTTCAATTATTTTCAATGATTTTCAATGATTTTCAATGTATGTTTCACTTGCACCAGGTGGCATGTTAAGGTTTCGGGTTCCTTTATGTTCAGCTGGAACTACTGGCTGATGATGGGCATGAGTTATGAGCAAAATACCATGGGGAAAGGTCCAAACTTGAGTCCTTGAGGGTTGGTAAACGAAAGGCCAAGAAAAAAGATGTGGGAGCGGAGAAGGCATAGAAAGCCATGGGCGCTAGCAATGAGAAGGAGATGCGAAGGGTAACGTGGAGGAAGGTGGCAAGATTCAGAGCGAGGTGGAGTGGAGTGACTAAGTGGGAAGGAGTTGGGTGGATCGCTGGAAGAAATGAATCCATATCAAAGTGTGCATGACAAATTGCGGGTTTGGCAATTGGACTGCTCCACATCCCTTGCTAAAGCAAGAAAAAAACATGAAAAAAATCAAGCTTGCTACCACTAGCTTTCGTGACAAGACATTGTTCAAACGCACTGCCTCTGCCTCGACTGGCTCAGGAGGGCCCTGCAATGAGCACAGGCAGAAAGCAAAATCCTGTGTGCAAAATTATGAAATCTGAATGTTTCATTGCTTCACTCTGACCATTTGCCGCATCAACACCTCCAGTGCATTGTGCTTCAGTGACACTCAGTGACAAAAAGTCTGGCAATGATGAGGGAGTAAAATGTCGTTGAACCATGTTGAACCATGTTGAACCCTTCCACTTCGCAACACAACTTTTGACTGCTTGGAAAGACCTTGTTCAAACACTGCACCTGCCTCGGCAACTTCAGAAAGTGGCAACACCTGCCGGAAGCCAAGCTCTAAGGATTTCAAGGTATGGCATTCAGAAATTCAATGTTTCAACATGTTTCAATGTTTCAACATGTTTCAATGATTTTCAATGATTTTCAATGTATGTTTCACTTGCACCAGGTGGCATGTTAAGGTTTCGGGTTCCTTTATGTTCAGCTGGAACTACTGGTTGATGATGGGCATGAGTTATGAGCAAAATACCATGGGGAAAGGTCCAAACTTGAGTCCTTGAGGGCTGGTAAACGAAAGGCCAAGAAAAAAGATGTGGGAGCGGAGAAGGCAGAGAAAGCCATGGGCGCTAGCAATGAGAAGGGAGATGTGAAGGGTAGCGTGGAGGAAGGTGGCAAGATGGTCAGAGCAAGGTGGAGTGGAGTGACTAAGTGGGAAGGAGTTGGGTGGATCGCTGGAAGAAATGAATCCATATCAAAGTGTGCATGACAAATTGCGGGTTTGGCACTTGGACTGCTCCACATCCCTTGCTAAAGCAAGAAAAAAACATGAAAAAAATCAAGCTTGCTACCACTAGCTTTCGTGACAAGACATTGTTCAAACCCACTGCCTCTGCATCGACTTGCTCAGGAGGGCCCTGCAATGAGCACAGGCAGAAAGCAAATCCTGTGGGCTAAATTATGAAATCTTAATGTTTCATTGCTTCACTGTGACCATTTGCCGCATCAACACCTCCAGTGCATTGTGATATTGTGACAGTCAGCGGCAACAACTGCGGCAATGATGAGGGAGCAAAATGTCGTTGAACCATGTTGAACCCTTCCAGTTCGCAACACAACTTTTGACTGCTTGGAAAGACCTTGTTCAAACACTGCACCTGCCTCGGCAACTTCAGAAAGTGGCAACACCTGCCGGAAGCCAAGCTCTAAGGATTCCAAGGTATGGCATTCAGAAATTCAATGTTTCAACATGTTTCAATGATTTTCAATGATTTTCAATGTATGTTTCACTTGCACCAGGTGGCATGTTTCGGGTTCCTTTATGTTCAGCTGGAACTACTGGTTGATAACGGGCATGAGTTATGAGCAAAATACCATGGGGGAAGGTCCAAAATTGAGTCCTTGAGGGTTGGTAAACAAAAGGCCAAGAAAAAAGATGTGGGAGCGGAGAAGGCATAGAAAGCCATGGGCGCTAGCAATGAGAAGGGAGATGCGAAGGGTAGTGTGGAGGAAGGTGGCAAGATGGTCAGAGCGAGGTGGAGTGGAGTGACTAAGTGGGAAGGAGTTGGGTGGATCGCTGGATGAAATGAATCCATATCAAAGTGTGCATGACAAATTGCGGGTTTGGCAATTGGACTGCTCCACATCCCTTGCTAAAGCAAGAAAAAAAAACATGAAAAAAATCAAGCTTGCTACCACCAGCTTTCGTGACAAGACATTGTTCAAACATGCTCAAACCCACTGCCTCTGCCTCGACTGGCTCAGGAGGGCCCTGCAATGAGCACAGGCAGAAAGCAAATCCTGTGGGCTAAATTATGAAATCTGAATGTTTCATTGCTTCACTCTGACCATTTGCCGCATCAACACCTCCAGTGCATTGTGCTTCAGTGACACTCAGTGACAAAAAGTCTGGCAATGATGAGGGAGTAAAATGTCGTTGAACCATGTTGAACCATGTTGAACCCTTCCACTTCGCAACACAACTTTTGACTGCTTGGAAAGACCTTGTTCAAACACTGCACCTGCCTCGGCAACTTCAGAAATTGGCAACACCTGCCGGAAGCCAAGCTCTAAGGATTTCAAGGTATGGCATTCAGAAATTCAATGTTTCAACATATTTCAACATGTTTCAATTTATGTTTCACTTGCACCAGATGGCATGTTAAGGTTTCGGGTTCCTTTATGTTCAGCTGGAACTACTGGTTGATGATGGGCATGAGTTATGAGCAAAATACCATGGGGAAAGGTCCAAAATTGAGTCCTTGAGGGTTGGTAAACAAAAGGCCAAGACAAAAGATGTGGGAGCGGAGAAGGCATAGAAAGCCATGGGCGCTAGCAATGAGAAGGGAGATGCGAAGGGTAGCGTGGAGGAAGGTGGCAAGATGGTCAGAGCAAGGTGGAGTGGAGTGACTAAGTGGGAAGGAGTTGGGTGGATCGCTGGAAGAAATGAATCCATATCAAAGTGTGCAGGACAAATTGCGGGTTTGGCACTTGGACTGCTCCACATCCCTTGCTAAAGCAAGAAAAAAACATGAAAAAAATCAAGCTTGCTACCACTAGCTTTCGTGACAAGACATTGTTCAAACCCACTGCCTCTGCCTCGACTGGCTCAGGAGGGCCCTGCAATGAGCACAGGCAGAAAGCAAATCCTGTGGGCTAAATTATGAAATCTTAATGTTTCATTGCTTCACTGTGACCATTTGCCGCATCAACACCTCCAGTGCATTGTGATATTGTGACAGTCAGCGGCAACAACTGCGGCAATGATAAGGGAGCAAAATGCCGTTGAACCATGTTGAACCCTTCCACTTCGCAACACAACTTTTGACTGCTTGGAAAGACCTTGTTCAAACACTGCACCTGCCTCGGCAACTTCAGAAAGTGGCAACACCTGCCGGAAGCCAAGCTCTAAGGATTTCAAGGTATGGCATTCAGAAATTCAATGTTTCAACATGTTTCAATGTTTCAACATGTTTCAATGATTTTCAATGATTTTCAATGTATGTTTCACTTGCACCAGGTGGCATGTTAAGGTTTCGGGTTCCTTTATGTTCAGCTGGAACTACTGGTTGATGATGGGCATGAGTTATGAGCAAAATACCATGGGGAAAGGTCCAAACTTGAGTCCTTGAGGGCTGGTAAACGAAAGGCCAAGAAAAAAGATGTGGGAGCGGAGAAGGCAGAGAAAGCCATGGGCGCTAGCAATGAGAAGGGAGATGTGAAGGGTAGCGTGGAGGAAGGTGGCAAGATGGTCAGAGCAAGGTGGAGTGGAGTGACTAAGTGGGAAGGAGTTGGGTGGATCGCTGGAAGAAATGAATCCATATCAAAGTGTGCATGACAAATTGCGGGTTTGGCACTTGGACTGCTCCACATCCCTTGCTAAAGCAAGAAAAAAACATGAAAAAATCAAGCTTGCTACCACTAGCTTTCGTGACAAGACATTGTTCAAACATGCTCAAACCCACTGCCTCTGCCTCGACTGGCTCAGGAGGGCCCTGCAATGAGCACAGGCAGAAAGCAAAATCCTGTGTGCTAAATTATGACATCTGAATGTTTCATTGCTTCACTCTGACCATTTCCCGCATCAACACCTCCAATGCATTGTGCTTCAGTGACACTCAGTGACAAAAACTCTGGCAATGATGAGGGAGTAAAATGTCGTTGAACCATGTTGAACCATGTTGAACCCTTCCACTTCGCAACACAACTTTTGACTGCTTGGAAAGACCTTGTTCAAACACTGCACCCGCCTCGGCAACTTCAGCCCCAGGTGACGCTTCAAATTCCGCCACCTGCAGAAAGAAAGAAAGTGCTTGAAGGATCCGAAGGTATTGCAATGCCAAAACTTGACATTTCGCGATGACCATGCACTGCATCAACGCCTACCAGGCCTACCACCTTTTTCGGGCAGTTTTTTTCAAATTTGTTTTGATGAGGATGAAACTCCCGCCACATGGTACTGGATGTACTGGTACTAGGCCACTTTGAGACCCAATCATGACTGATCCCAACAAGATCTTTCTCAAATCCACTCTCTCCCCGCCTCCGCCTTGATTACCGCAGGCTTCTTTGCTGAAGCTTGCAACGCATCAAAGTGCGCAATGGCCACCAGCATCCCCGATCCCGGCGTGTCCTCCTTCGGTTGATCCTTCATCTTCCTGCCCTCCGCCTCCAGTTCGGCCAGGTGTCGCTGCTGCAGCGCCTGGCTTTTGCCATCAACCATCCTCCATCCCAGGAGCCGCGGGTCATCCCGCGAGCGCGCGGTGACGGGGAATCTCATGCCGTACACCGACGCCGCCGTGGCTGAATCCATGGCAGCGATTCAGCTGGAGCGATGTCAACAATCAGCTGAGCCAAGGTGTCTCCAGGCGACTGAGGACAATGATGGACAATGTGATGAATCTGAGCCCATAGCCGCTATAGCCCATAGCCACAACCAAGCTATCATGTCGTAAGGATTCGTAAGGTATCTGCAGGATAAGAAATCAGAGGAAGTGTCAACTTGGAAGCTTGCAGCTCAGAACAGGCTCTGCCAAGAATTGGTTGGGGCCAAGTCAGGTGACAACAACATGCTGAAGTATCATGAAAATTCATGAAATATGTTGAATACTTGATATCGATGAGAGCGACTCAACAGCAATCTTCGGAGCTAAATGACCCAATCCACCCTTGGCCCGAACCTCGTATGTCTTGAACATTCTGACTGGGCGAGTCACACTTCATCCAAAACCATCCAAAACTGATATCACAGGTATCTCTTGGATTTGTTCGTCAAATTCCGGGAAAGCCCCCAAAAACGGTAGGCTTTCCAGGCCGGCCCTCTGCTGCGATTTTTCGGTTCAAAACGTCCCCCCGGTGTAGGGTATGGGATGGCTTGCCACAGCTTCTGCAAGTCATGGAATGATTCATAACATAGCTTTTCAACCCATACCCGGTATGGGTTGAAAAGCTATGTTATGAATCATTCCATGACTTGCAGAAGCTGTGGCAAGCCATCAAATCAATCGAGGCTGCAGCCAGTTAGCCGCAGCGTGCATTTGGGGTGCAGTGGGTCTACTTTACCCAGCGCCAGAAATTGGTCTGCGTGTAAAATACTTATGGTTCTTTATACACAATTGTACACAGCTAGCAATTACATTCCACTTGAAAAATACAAACATCTGCAAGATTCCTAGACATGATATTGTCTCATTGATGCGGGTGAAACTAAATTGCTAGGCGGCGGTCACTTTTGGCGCCTGGGGAACTATTACAAAAACAGTTCGCTCCTGTGAAGGTTTGTGGCGAATACACTATTTGCCATCACAACCGAACTGCATTCCGCCTTCCTCTGCCAGGCACAGCATGCGTTCTATGCAGTTTGTATACAGGTCTCAAATTTTCTCAAGCGGTGAGTCGCAGTTCACCCAAAACGGAGACATCAGGGTATCTCTTTGGATTGAAGATAACTCGTCCATGGCAGGTCACTGAGTATGACCGAGTCACAATTTGCAAAGTGAACATATTGAGTTGGTGAAAAAAAATGCCGTGACGATACTGGTCATATTCGGTCATACTGGTCACAATTCTCTTGGAGGTTGGAAACAAAATCCAGGTTTCACTACAGGATGGGCCCCCCCAGTTACAAGTTGGTTTATAAACCATTATAACCCCCATTAACTATGGTTATATCTACCATAAACCATAGTTGAGCCACTTGTGAGGCAACCGAACGCTATCTTGGGTTCACTAGGGAGCACCTTTTTTCTGTGTCTGTAGAGGTCACACGCTCCACGCGCCACGCGCAGAGCAGCCAGATGTTTCCAGCTGTTTCAGGTTTGGGCTCTCCAGCCGAAACTAATGTTCCGCCGATATGGGGTAGTTTGGTGGCTTTTATACATCGTCACAAAAAAAAACAAGATATATTCATCATTTATTGGTTGGTGGTTTTAACCATCTTGAAAAATATGAAAGTCAATGGGAAGGATTATCCCATATATTATGGAAAATAAAAAATGTTCCAAACCACCAACCAGTTAATGTCGACCGTGGATTAATAATTGGGGGGTTTCATTTAAGATCATTTAAGTATCAAGTTGAGGAAGCATGCCCCCTAATCAATAAACTATGGTTTACCAGTAGTACCGCACAAGGTGGTGGCGGAAGTTTCAAAAATAGGAAACCTATAGGAGAGATTGGTTGTTGTGAATCAGGGATGGCAGAGCGAATCCACTGATGGACCGAAAGGTGCTTGAGGTCTCCTCTCTTTCTCTCTCTTTCTCTGACTATCTACCTACCTACCTATCTATCTTCTATGTACCTATCTATCTCTCTCTCTCTTTCATCTAATTACCTATCTGTCTATCCATCGATCTATCTATCTCTCTCTCTTTCATCTAATTACCTATCTATCTATCTATCTATCTATCCATCTATCTATCTATCTATCTATCTATCTATATCTCTCTCTCTCTCTCTTTCATCTGTCTATCTGTCTATCTGTCTAGCTGTCTACCTGTCTATCTATCTGTCTATCTTTCTATCTATCTATCTGTCCAGCTGTCCCTACCTTCTCTCTGTGGGCAGTGTCATTCAGTGTAAATGTAGTGTAAGTGTAATGTGGTGTAGTGAAGGGTAGTGGAAGGTATTGTAAGTGTAAGTGTGATTAGTGTCGTGTAATTTAGTGTAGGCGGAGTGTAGTGGAGTGGTAGTTTGTGTAGTCGTAGTTGTAGTTGTATGTAACTTGAGTGTATACGGAGCGCCGGACAACTACTTAGAACATCGTTTTGGAAATTTTTCGGTGGGTACGCGCGCTCTACTTAGAACATTTTCGGCGAATAGGGGGACGTATGTTCTAAGTGACTTAGAACATATGAGGATCCTCTACTTAGAACATGCCATCATATATACATGTAAATATATGTATATGTATACATACATACAACTTAACACTGCATATTTATATTATATATACAGGTGGTGTGATGTTGCGTTAAGATACGTTGTATATTGAAATTATATGACCGATTGAGCGGTTGGAATGGTCCAAAGCCTACAGCGGGACGAGATTCGAGATAAATAGGTACATATATTGAGCTGAATGGATCCGGATGCTCTAGGTGAGAGGCTACAATTCGAACATCAGGTTTGGAAAGTTTTTATTATATGACTATATAGTGCCGGACAACTACAATATTAAAAATATATTATATATACACAGGATTTTCCAAAAATGCACGTAGATAGCTGGGGAGATTCTTACTTAGAACATGGGGGAACCCCCAAAACCTCTACTTAGAACATCCCGTGAACATATATGTTCTAAGTAGTGGTCCAGGATCTCTACTTAGAACATGTTTTGGAATTCCAAAACCAATGTTCTAAGTATATGTCCGGCACTATAGTGTAATGTAATGAAGTGTAGTGGAAGGTAGTGTAGTGTAGTGTAATGTAGTGTAGTGTAGTGGAGTGAAGTGTAGTGTAATGTAATGTAGTGTAGTGTAATTTAGTGTAGTGGAGTGTAGTGGAGTGTAGTTGTGTAGTTGTAGTTGTAGTGTAGTGGAGTGTAGTGTAATGTAGTGAAGTGTAGTGGAAGGTAGTGTAGTGTAGTGTAATG